TGTTGACTTTGTTATTCTAGATATAAATGAGGATGTGGATGTGCCTTTGATTTTGGGTAGACCATTTCTCGCCAGCGCCAAGGCACTTATTGATGTGCATAGTGGTAAACTGATCTTGCGTGCCGGGAATGAACAGGCTACCTTTTCTGTGTCTGAGGATGGGAAGCATTCCCATTTTCTTGATGAATTAGATCATTGTGATATGCCTTCTATCACACCTATGCATGCTATTTCTCACCAGATGCACGAGCCTGTCGTGCACCCTCCTGCATCTCTCATTTTGCAGGACCCCCCCCCCCCCCCGCTCACTCCTTCGCCGCCATTCCCTTCAACCTCACCTCCAAATAAAAAGATCAAGGAGGAGTGGCGGCCGAAGAAGAAGGTGGCTAAGCCTGCTCGGAAGAAAGATGGCGACCAGTATGAGCTGGTCCCACCTCCTAAACCACGACAACCCTGGCCATCCGAGTACTCACTCGCTTGCATCTTGTCGGATGGCCAGGTCGAGCTGACAAATGCTGGTGGTCACACCCGTCTGGTGCATGGCCACAATCCGAAGTTGTACCTCAAGAGCGATGTGGATCCGCTCTTGCAGGCACCTATTCCTGCACCACCCTGAGTATCCACCATGGCGTCCAGCTAAAAGAAGGTAAAGAAGCGCTTGTGGGGAGGCAACCCCACCGCGGTTTGCATTTATTTCTTTTGTTTTGGGTCAGATTACAAACTGGTTTGGTTTTGGTTTGTTTTCTTTTGTTTTGGATGATGTACTATTGGGTTGACACCTGGACCTAACGTATTGTGTTTGAGTTCTTTTTTCCCTTTAGCTATGCCTTTGTCCCCGACTGGTCCCCTTTCCAATCCTCTTCACTCAGAATGGTCCCCTTCCAGTCTCATGCAGTTCGTGCACACCGGTAACATCGTTCTCCTTATCCTTCCCTCTTCTCCATTGAGGGCAATGTCGAACTTAAGTGTGGGGGGGGGGGGGAGTTGATGTTTCTCTTTTGACTGCATTAGATCTGTTTGTGTGCTTGGAGCCTAGTCCACTGTCCAAATTTTTAAATTTGAGGGCTCCAAGTACGTGTTTCCTTGCAAATTGCCTGCTCAGTATGCTTTGAATTGACAGTCTCTATAGTAATGTGCAACCTAGGGAGGTAGTGTAGCACTATGGAGGATGTTGAAGTATAGGATTTTTCCTATCTAGCTCTCTGTTGTGCCAGTTGATTTTGTGAATTAGTGGAGCTAAGACCGTTGAATTCATGTGGTAATGCTGACTCTGTTTGGATTGTGTTATGGACTCGTATATCGAACAGGGTGCTCATGTGGGAAATGAAAAGCAGTTGGTCCTCCATCTCGAAATCATTGAAATCTTAAACATGGGGTAAGCCTAACGTGTGTGGCACCGTTCATTGCACAAAATTGGGTTTTGGAAGAGATCTTAGTGATCCTTAGTGGGGTACTCCTACAAGGTGAAGCTAAGCTGTCTCTAGTACAAGTAAAACTTCCACCCGTTGAACGCTTTGCCTACTTGAAGATGTGTTTTTAAGGGCAGGGATAGAGCTTCCGACCCCCCTTAATTTCATTGACCCTCCACACGAGTTGAGGAAAAGGAGTTAAAAGAAGTACTCTGGCGAGCGCCAGATGTACAGAAATTGCTCTTGCTCGACTAATAAGGGTTGACCGTGCAAAAGACTGCAGTTGGAACCCCCGCCAAAAGAAAAAAAAAAGAGAAAGAAATGTAAATGAAAGTGAAACAAGGGGTTCCAACGGTGAAATGAAGTGAAAGAGCACCCCGGTACAACGAGTCCTTGGTTGTGAATGGTGTGAGTCCCTTTATCCATGAACTGGTTGTCTTAATTACACTTATTCTCATGATCCTGGTTTGAGTCTAGTACTCGCATTGAGAGAGATAGGGGACGTCTTAGAAGACCAGTTGACCTCGTAAGCTGCTATATGATCTAGGAAAACCTCTACCGACGATCGGGGTTGTTTGTAGCTATAGAGGTCTGGAGAATTGCATTGGTTTGATTTAGGTTTGCTTGGGGACAAGCAAACGGTTAAGTGTGGGGGAATTTGATGACTTGATATATACACATGTTTTTGTCCACCATTCTTATACCGTTTGAGTCTTATTTCTCGTGTTTTAGGCCGATTTCACGCTAGGTTGTTCTTGTTTGTGATATTTCAGGTCCTAGTATGTGAATGAAGGCTTGGGAAGGAGTTCGGGGTCGATTGGACGAAGATTGGACATTTGGCGAGAAGCTGGGAAAGTCACGCGGGCACGCCTAAAATCCCACACGACCGTGTGGCACCAAATTGCACGGGCAAGCCACACTGGCCGTGTAGGGGATCCCTTGTGGCCGTGTGGAAAGTCCAGGGAGCTCACATGGGCAGCCTGGGAATCCACACGGCCGTGTGGCCCTGGCCGTGCAGCATGCCTGGAAGCCCACTAATCGAAACGCCGCGTTTGAACTTCCACACGGGCATCTGGGTATTCCACACGGCCGTGTGGCCTGGCCGTGTGGTCGGGAATTTATGGTTTTTAACCCAATTTCCAGCCAAAGGAGAGGGGTTCCGAGTTTGAGAGAGAAAAAGCGATACCTAAAGAGAGAAAGTGACGAACCTGATTCTGCAAGTGTCTTTGATCGATCTCCATCACCATTTGAGCCCGGCTTGAGCTTGGAGAAGAGCTGATTGAGTGCCAGAAGCAGATTCTCATCCTTCACAGTATGGTTTCCACATCTGAGCTAGATTTCTCATCTCTCTCTATGGAGTAACTTTCTCATTCACCTAGGTATGAAGAACCCTAGATTTGTATGTTAGGTCTGATTGTATGAACCCAAGTACAAATTCAGTGGTTTGATTATATTCAATTGAGGTTTGATTTGTTGAATGACATGAATCCTGATCAAATTCCTGTTATTTCTGCTTTAACCTAGAAAGAGAATATCTGCCTAGGTTGATAGAGCACCCTTAATTGAAGGTAGTGAATTGGCGACTTTAGTCGAGGAGTTGATTCACTATTCTGTACCGAATTTACTTCAGTAGTGGAGGTTTGGTTCGTTAGGGCCTCAATCTGTTTACTCCGATGGAGGTTAGTCGCCCGCTGGGGACTCAGATTGAGAGGGTCTGGAGACCTTTAGTCGAGACTGCAGACTGTTTAAGAACCTCCCGCAGTATATATCATTGAAATTGAACTTGGTAAATTACAATCTGGCTTAACTGCAGTCTAGGGGGAACCATATCCGGGTGACCTCTCTCAACTTGAAAATAACATTTTTACTTGCTTTACTTGTTTGCTTGTTGGACTTTCACTAAAGTTTCACCGTTAAATAATAAGAACTCACGGAGTACTCAGCATACTTAGGACCCGGGTTGACATTAAAACCCAAACCCACTATACTACGCTTGAGGAGGTGGTTGCACTTGGCCATTTTCTATAGTGACGGTAGGAGCGAGTCACTAATCATGGTTTTGTGTTCTACATTGTGGTAGGAAGGACACATATGGCGTTTACTCCGAACCGGTGGATCTCGAGGAGATTTGTGATGTTTTCCAGTCTCTGTTGGCTAGTGGTTGGCATATTGATGGTAGAGAATTGGCCGAGCTAACATGTTAATGTGGCTGTTTCAGCTTTCGGATTATCTTGATGTGGTTGATCATCCGATGGATTTTGCCACAGTGCGGAAGAACTGGGAAATGGCTCGTACTCCACGTTGGAACAATTTGAGGTGTGTTCCTTATGTTCGATTCTGCTATGCATGTGCTAGTTGTTCTCTCATGAAACTCTGCTTCTAGTGTCAAAGTTGTAGCTGAGAAGCCTGAGATCAACAATAGCCTTTTATTTATGTCTGGGCATTTTGCTACCTGAGTAGTGGATCACTGTCAATTTGGAAGAAACTCAAGAAAGGTTTTGACAGGGTGTTGGGCCATGATCTTTTGGATTATACTAGTGTTATGGAATGGTTGCCTTTTGTTACCTGGTTTATGCCTTTCTGGAATTGGAAAGTTGGTGGCAGAAGGTCACAGAGATGCCTTTTGATAAGCGTAAAATGTGCAAGCCTTGGGACTTGGCTGTTGTTAGACTTATTGATACATATCTGGAATTATAGATAGAGAATAATGATGTCGTGTTTGATCCTTGCTCTGTTCACAGACTAACATCATGGCTATTTTAGCCTTTTAGGGCATCATTCTGCCGTAGATCATATTATCTTATTTGGAACATTCTGCTTTGCATCTAAGCTGCAATGGACTTTATTGCTAGTCTTTGTTGATTCTGATGTTTTCGTGCAAAATATTGTTGAAGGTAGAAGGCTGCCATTTTGTTTTCTTGTGTCTCTTTCCTCGCAATTGGAGCAGTGACTCTAGTGATGCTCTTTCTTGTATGGTTATAGGAAGAGAGTCCTAGGATGAGAACATAATGTTCATGTTGCCTTATCTATAAGGCTTTAGACTCTTTAGCCAGTTTGTTGTGGGAATAATTTTCTGTTTATAGTTGTTGTATGGTTTTACTGAAGTGCTCTTCTAATGTTATTAGTTAATGCTTATTACTATTCTGTTTAGAGATTCTAAGAAATTTGAGTAATTGAGCTATAAAAAAATTTATAAATAATTTGTCTGATTATGAGACTCCGTTCTTCTGCAAATTTAAGTTATTGAGCGAAATTCTTTTAATTTTACCATAAGTTATGTTGATTAGGAGAGAGATATGACAGAAAGAAATTTTTTATACGTATTAATAAGGTTTTCTTTGACTGCAGAGTGACATACTTCTAATTTGCTCAAATGCAATGAAATATAATTCATCAGACACCATATATCATAAACAGGTAAAAAAGAATTCTATGACACTTCTTTGACGTCTCATGTTTAAATCTTGTGCTAATTTTGTTTCGTATTTTCTCCGAAAGGCACATGGCATCCAAGAATTGGCTCAAATGAAGTTTGAGAAGTTAAGGGTTGACATTGAACGCTCTGAGAAAGAGCGGAAGTCTTAACAGAAAATGAAGTCCAACTTCTCGACCAAGAAACAAATGAAGAAGCCTTTGAGTAGGGCCACATTGGAACCTGTGGGGTCTGATTTCTCTTCAGGTGCCACTCTTGCTAATGCCGGGGAGGTTCAGAATGGTCCCAATGGTGTTTTGGGTGGTGCCTGTGAGAGGTCTTGTAACATGGATTCTCTTGTAGAGGGCAGCTTGTTTCCGGTTGATAATACTAATCTAGAAAAACTTGAAGAACTATCATCAGGTATGAAACTTGAATTTCTCTTTGCAGTTGCTAATTTAGGATATAGGTGTTTGTCACTTGACTGTTCTGTTTTTCTATTATGTTGATGATATTGCTTTCTAATTGCTTTGTCTCTGCTATTCTGCAGGGAAGGGTCCTTGGCCCAAGATGGGAAAGAGACTGTCTGTCCTGGATGACAACCGCCATGCAACATATAACATATCTAGTCAATCAGTTGAAAGACTAGACACAATATTCACAACATTTGCGGACGAGCTCAGACAGCTGGTTGCTGCATGTAACTAGGAAGCTGCACCATTTTTACTTTAGTAGCTGTGAGATAATACTGATGTTTTCTTTCATTTTCTTCGATTAGGTGGGGCTTCATGCAGAATATTCCTATGCAAGGAGCATGGCTCGCTTTGCTGCAACCCTCGGACCATTAGCTTGGAAAGTGGCATCTCACAGGATCGAGCAGGCTTTACCACCTGGGTGCAAGTTTGGTAGAGGATGGGTGGGAGAATATGAGCAACTCACAACCCCAGTCTAATGATTGAACCACGTGCTCCTAGAGACAATAAAGTCTTCTCCCCCAAGGTTAAAGCTCCTATTGATGCACAACCCGGTCATATGATGCAACTGAAGTGCCAATTGCTCAACCTCCACCAGCTAGAGGGACTAGTTCACAAGGAAAGCACAGAGTGTTCCCACCAACCAGCAGTGTGCCGGAAGTTAAAAAACTCATGTGTTCCTTTGCTGCAGCCAAGCCATTTGCCTCGGTTAATGTCACTCACCCGCAACAAGCTATTTCTCTTTGGAACTGTGTCGAGACTCAGAATAAGGCTCCCAAACAGGCTGAACTGAATCTGCCTCCTTCAAACTATCAAAATAATGGTGAATTTGGTGATGGAAAGCAACTTCCAAAGAGTTCAGAAATGTCATCTTCAAGGGTGTGGGAAGTACGGTCAAGAACACAGAGTTCACAGCCAAGGTTAGTGCCAACAAGAATAGAGAGCCCAAAGCCAAGGGATATGTCGCGAAGAACAGAAAGTCCAAAGCCATGGGATGTGCCACCAAGAACAGAAAATCCAAAGCCTAGGAAAGTGTCGAGGACAGAGGCTAGTATGCAGCAGTCCCTACCTAGTAAGCAGCTGGACAATTATACGCACGTTCCTCCAGGCGTCCCGAATGGGAGAAACACTGGCAGTAATTTGGTAAACGGTAGTAGATCAGAGACTGCATCATCTGATGGTTTTGGCCAAATGGGTTACAGAGGAGGACCGCACTATCCACCACAGGCACCAGGACAGGTTCTCACAGACCCAGTGGAGGCAATGAGAATATCAGCAGCTGAAAGGGCTCAAAAGCCTACTTCAGCTGGCCAGTCCTCAACTGCCGAGGCTCTGCCAACTTCAAGGAGCGACTGCAGCAATGCGGCCACAACTGTTGCCCGAGCATGGATGTCGATAGGCGCAGCAGGTGGAGGCCTCAAGGCCCCACCAGCGGAGAATTCTACTAGTAACACGAAAGGTCGGATTTCTGCAGAGTCACTGAGGTCGGATTTTCTCCTCATTTATTAGCTACTGATTTATCTAGGTTGCAAATGATATCCTCCCCATGGCGAGGACAAAGTGGGCCACCGTCTCAGTCCCAGTCTGCTACTAAGCAAAAGCAGGAGACATACAAGCTGCCACCGGATTTGAACATTGATTTTCTGTCTCCAGGATCACCGTTGAAACAGTCATCAGATGTCATGGTTGATTCACATCAACTTGACATGGCATTACAGCTTTGAAAAATGGATAGCATTCGAACCGAGCCATTAACACAATCCACATGGGTTGAGACTTCGGCTGCATTTGCAAGGTGGATTCCTTTGCACCTTTGCTCAAGAAGATCCATCCCACGGTGTTCATTAACTAAAAGTTTGGCTCTCAGGAAGACAATATTAAATCTTTCAATTCATGGTGATGATGCAGAAGGGTTATGTGTACAAAAAGGTGGAGAGTTTTGCAGTTGCAATCAGAGGAAGTGATGTTGAGAAAGCACTTAGTTGGGAGTGAAAGGTACTGGTTCCTTTCCCATCTTTTCTCTGGAACAAAGTACATAGGTTTAGAAGTTTGATCCAAACGAGAGTTAGGCAGCTTAGCCAATCGAGAGGGTGAACCGGAATCGAATTGGAGTTAGGAATTGGGGGTTCATGTATTGATTATTGAGGAAGAAGAGTTAGAGAGACTTAGCAGCAACAGCTTAGGAATTTGCCTTGTATATTTGACACAGGTTGATGGTTCCTGGAGGGGATTGCCTAGTATTCATATCTGTCTTCAAATTTCTTTCTGCCTTTGTGAATGTGATTTATTGCATATGTAGAAGGCAACTCCCCCCTGAATGATTATTGCTCTATTCAAAATTTTGGAGCCTGCAAGTTCGCTTCCTTTTGGTCTAAGGAGGTTTTTGCATGGCTTTTCTGATGTTCTCTTGGATTGTGCCTCTCATGATTGACAACGGTTGGATGCATGCGGTGATAATTTTGTAATGCATGTAAATTGTGGAATGTATGAGCTATATGGAAAGTTGATGGCAACTCTACGAAATTTAATGCACAATCTCATATAATGTTATTCATTTCAAATCGATCTCAATTGAGGGTAGGGAAAAATTCAATAAAAAATGTATTGAAATTCTGAAATCCATCCATTTTCCAATTCCTTGGGAGGCTATGTCTCATAAACATTGGATTATCCAATTAAGCAAAATGTAACTAAAACTATACATACAACCAATATAATCAAATTCAATGAACCAAAGTTGAAGCCTTAATTTTCTGATGAGAGGATCCCCAGAATGACAGCTCAATCCCATCTTATATCTACAGAGATATAGGAATCATAAAGCTAATAATTTACAAGTTGGGAGCACTCCGAAGCCGAATCCGGCGAGGGAACATTGAGAAGCAAACGGCGGTTGACTCCTTCGGCGGCTTCCCCTTGGCAGTGGTGGATTTCTGGCTCTGCTCGCTTCTGCTGCTCCCTTGGCTCTCTTTTCTCAGGTAACAGATGTCCCCCTCGCACACGTAGTTTGAAGGAGCCTGCCGGCCGTCATGATTATTCTTATGATCATTAGCAGCAGCTACAGCAGCAACAACTGATTGATGATGACGATGATGATCGGTACGCCCGCCACGGAAGATACTTGATAACGACGACACGGCCATTTATCTCCGACCAAACCAAAACCACCCCGACAATGAAGAACAAAAGAAAGGAGCTGACGAATTGTTTTGAGGGGAAATAAACAAAGATGGGACGGTATTCGGAAGCTTGTGTATATAGAAAACCAATGAAGGGGGAAAAGGAAAACAGAGGAACAATTTTTTGTTGGTTTCTTTTACGATCTTGTTATATTGAAGGGTGAAGGAAATAGGGGCAATGTTTTATTTGGACTTGTGTTGTTGAAAATGGGATCTTTTTGGCTTTGGAAAATACACGGCTCAATGTTGCTTGCTTGTTTCAGTCTGCCGGCCACTTACGTTTTCTCTTCTTTCTTTCCTGGAAAGCAAATAGATAATATATAAAACATGTGGACATGTCCACATACCACAAGAAGTAACACATCAGATGAATGAGATTTTGACTGCAGTTAGATCAAAGCCTTCTTTAAAAACCTTCTCCAAGCCCTTTAAATACTTTGACTTCTGGTTAGAGCATTCAGATTTCTTGACCATTTTTTAGGAAGCCTGGTCAGTAAAAAAAACTTATGGTGTTCCAATAATAATAGTTGTGAAAGCAAAGAAAAGCCATCAAGAAACTCAACAAGGATATATATGGGGATTTAAGTACTCAAGTAAAAGAAATGGAGAGTCTACTGCTTGATGCTCAAACCCATGAACTTAAACAATCATCAGAGCGTGGATAAGAGTTTGATCTAGTGGTACATGTACAACCAAAAATAGCACAATGTCATTAAGTTCTCCATCTTTTTTGAAATTTGAACCAAAATCTCCACTATGTTTGGGACGATGAGAACATCTCTAATGAATATAAATAAACATGTACCTTCAAATTTCAATGAAGTATACTCCCTATCACTATATGCTTGTTCATTACCGATTTCAAAATTAAATATAAACTCTCTGAATTTCTACAGCTCTTGTCCCTTACTTGTTTATCAAATAAAGAACATTCTATGTTTAGACAACTCACACAGTTTTCCTCAATACTTTGTTAATCACAATTATCTCTTCCATGGAAAATAAAAAATTTCCAAATTACGTTTTAGGGGATTTTATTTCCCTCACCTTGTGGAAAACCACGATAAATAAAATAAATAGATTTTCATCCTTCAAAACAAAATCCCTTACTATGGCACCATAATCAAAAATACAATAAGAGTAGACTTTAATTTGGGCATCATCGTGTTCCTCCCGGCAACATTTTTGCTCTACCAAAGTTTGGTTTTTCAGGCAGAGCAGTTGCCCGGAGAAGAAAGCTCGAATAGGGTACATATTCCAATTTCACCCAAAAGTTCTTTCTTTTTTCTTTTTTCTATTACTCTATAGAAAATATCAACCGAAGGTGTCTAAAGTGGCACACAATTCTAAATTATTGATAGCAAGGTTCAAACCGTTTGAAACTGTTGAGAAGTTGGCGCCTCGCCGCACCCATCTCCCTCTTTCTCTTTCCTCCGTAACTTCTCTCTATACCTTTCTGATTCCTCCACTCGTAACTTCTTGTGGGTCCCCAATCATCCTCCATCCTCCTCTGACATTCCCAGGTTCCTTCTCTTCCTCTTCCCAGCCGACGAGCAAATTCATCTGGGAAGGAAGAAAGTGCCCCACTTTCATTTCCACCTTAGAAAAGACAAGGACCCACCGAGGAAGAAGAAGAAGAAGAAGAATTTTGGGTTTTGATGGAGTTATTGGGTACTCTTATTTTGCATGATATTATATTACCTTCAATGGGGTAAATGTGCAATTCGTGGTTAAATTTAATAAGAAACCAGAACTCATTTTGTCCACGAATATGTAAAGGAAGACAAAATTGGAACAACGAAGTGTTGGAAGGTTTTCAAAATTCTTTTTTCTTTCTTGTTGGGTCGCATTGTGAACCCACCAAGAACAAAGGAAGATATATCATTGTTAGGTTGTGAAGTATTATCTTTCTACCTTTAGAATGATGTCAACAGGCAATGGTGACGGTGGGTCCTCTAGATCTACCACAAGTGGTAGTGGCGAAGGAGGAGGTAACAATAGAGGAGACAATAACACATATGTAAATGCGTTTGGGTTCGGTGATAATAGTGTTGCTCATTACCATCAACACCATCACAATCATAATAGAGGAGGAGGGAATGCGGTAGGAAATTCTACAAATGACGGGAGAGAGATTAATAACAATGTTGGTGGCAGTGGGAGGGAACGACCATTAAAGAAAGGACCTTGGACAGCGGAAGAAGATGCAATTTTACTTGAATACGTGAGGAAACACGGCGAAGGGAATTGGAACGCGGTGCAAAGGAATTCAGGACTTAACCGTTGTGGGAAGAGTTGTCGCCTTCGTTGGGCTAATCACCTTCGACCGAATCTCAAGAAGGGTTCTTTCACACATGAAGAAGAAAGACTCATCATTGAGCTTCATGCAAAGATGGGGAACAAATGGGCTCGCATGGCCAACTTGGTTTGTCTTTCCATTTCTCATGCTCTTACTATGTTTTTCCTACTAATGCTTTGTTTTCCCAAGTTCTTATTGTTCTATCATTTTCTTCTCACATGCATGGGGATGTATAGCTTCCAGGAAGAACAGACAATGAGATTAAGAACTACTGGAACACAAGAATCAAGAGGCACCAACGACAGGGTCTCCCTCTTTACCCTCCAAATATCCAAACTCAACAACAACAACACTTCCAACATGATTTGCTTCACCATAACCAACACCATCAATATATTCACCATAAGTCTTTCGACACACCGCCAAGTTCGATCAACACCTTCTCCTTCCAACCTTATCAACTGCCTTCCCCAACTGCAATAGCACCGCCGAATCTTCATCCTTACCACCACCAAGCCTTTGCACCACACTCATCTGCCTCTCACAATGCCTTCCAAGCCTTACCGCTTTTCGACTACTCTCAACAACAACAACAACAAAGTTACCATCCAGACTATACTCCCACAAACCCAAGTCAATCTCCATTCACTTTTCAAACTAAAAACCTAAAGCAAAATTATGATCATCCTTCCTCAGCTTCGACAACCCCAACCCATGTCTCCCCTCTTCCTTCTCCTTCAGTAGCTAATAATTCGTCCCCTGTTTCTTCTTCTCACCATCAACGCATCCCAACTCTAGCACTCCTTGACTTCTCCTTCCCACGCCCCACTCCCATCCTCCAATCCCCTAATCGCTTCAAGCGATTTGCCTCTTGTGGTGACATTGCCAACTCTGCAGCAGTTGTAGCCGACCAGCCTAACAACAACAATGCTCATCCACATCATTTACCACCCTCATTAGCCAATCCATCATCAACTCCACCTCTTCCTCCTCATCCTATCATTTCTTCCAATAACGTTGCACATATGGGAAATTCTCATAACCTAAACCATCCCAATGTACTCTCTAGCCTACTCGATGGCAACAATAGTGAGTTCCATAAGGAGATACAGAAGGAGAATGAGGAGATGTGCTCACTTTTAGCTTCCATGTCTCACCATCCAGAGCTCCCTTCAAATCAACTTTTATCACAAAACCCTTTTGGGGTCAATTCTAGTACGAGTATAATCCCTCAAGGCCAGTTCACTAGAAGCATTGATATGAAAAATCGAGGCAATAACAAGAACAACAATAATATTATGATTAGCAAGAAGGAGGGTAAGAATGACATCTTGCTAGCAGCACCGACATCGAACAACACTGGTAATGCCTACGGAGGATCGTTGGAGGATCTTTGGCAAGAGGTCAATCCAAATTTGATGATGCAGAGGGATAACTATGTGATGCAGAGGAATGATAATGATGTTCATGGCTACACCACAACCAACAAGAATGCCATCAATTTTTCCAACTATGGTGAACAACAGGGAGATAATGAGGAGTTAAGCAAGTTCCTGGAAGAGAGTGAGATTCGACAGACAGATAATCAATTTTGTGGAGAAAATTTCAGTGGTGGCAATAAGGATCATCAGACAACCTCCAATGACCCATCTTCAGTAGTGACAACAGAGGATCACATCAATTTTGATCTCCATCACATGTGTTCATTTCTTCCCACAACAACCACGACGACGACAACAGACCCGGATAGGCCTCCCCTGGAGACTTATTCATGGGACAACTTGCCAGAGATTTGCTAAGAAGTTAACTTCAAGAAGAGAGTTGGGGTTTGTAATTAAGTCTTGTAATCGTGGTCGTTCTTTTATCCTTTATACATCTTTATGAGAATTTTGCAAATTCGTTGGGGATGTAAGTTTCCTATAACTTGGGGAAGGGAACTCTCTTTTGTCTTGTGCTATTGTTGTAATGTAAGAGATCCCCATTGGGAATACCCAAATTTACTAACTAAATAATCCAAATTTCTCGCTATCTACGACACTAATACAACATTTATTAAAAGTCACCTACACTTCAATACTTCTTTGTTGCAAGTTGAGGTTGGTGATTTTGTTGTTTACGGTATATCTTGGTGAATTTCAGGTTATGATACCATAAAGGACGAGAACGTGAGTGTGTTGGTTCAAACAAGGACAAAATTAGGTACCAAATGAGCAATTAGTGTACTGAGAGCAACATCTCATTTCTTAAGAAGGAGCATATATTTTGAGAGCTCTTGATCTCTTTAGTTGAGGATTCACCGGAATCCGTGCACGACTTTAAGAGGTAGGAATAGCTTTGTTTGATGCACAATTTCAAGGCAAATTCTACTCAAAAATAAGTTTCTTGTTTGTAATCTTGGTTTCCTCCATGACTATGAGTAGTTAAACCCTCTGTGTTGTTCGGATCGGTGGAAGTCTAGGTGGTTTTAGGGTTCCCTACTTATTATCAATATAAATTGTTGTGGTATTTCATTTGAATGGTTCTCTTGTGTTTGCTTATCTCTATTATTATCTTAAAAAGCTAGCCCTATGATTATGAATCTGTAGGAAATGGATAATTGACTAGAGATAGCTAGTTAGGTTCCTTGATCACCAAACAAAACAAACAAACAATCGATTGATTATTATTATAAGATATATTAGGATTGATCGATCATTTTATCCCGTATACAATTTGGAACTTAACTGCATAAGGGTTGCAATGATGGGGACATGAATGTAACCTACCTTAGGGAACCCTAAAAAATCCTACCGAACGGAGAGATTGTTGGCGAGGTGACAAAACCAACAGCCTACATGTCCTCATGGTTGAGCTGAACTGCTGCTCCAGATATTGGCAACAAAGAAGCTTACCTGCCAATTTGATCAAGGCATTCATCCGAAAACCTTCTCTCTGTAAAGGTCTGCACTATGCTGTCCTGTCCTATTCGATTCCTCAGTGAGCGGTTGATGCCTTGATGGGCCAAAACGAAAAGGAAAAGCAATAAACTAGGGAGAAACAGAGGGGAAGGCAGGGGAGCTGCTTGCTTCCACTTTCCAGTAATATGGGATGGGCACTGCAATTAAATCCGTGCTTCTGGTTGGCAGTTGAATGGGTGAGGTAGGTGAGTGACATTTATGAACAACCCTTCCTTTCTTTACTGATCTTTACTCTTTTTCAGTGATTGTTTTGTGTTGTAAAAGAAAAAAACAGATTGATGAGGACCATAACCAGCCATAGGTATGATGAATGTTTACAAATGGCGTTGGCATGGCAGAGACCAACAAAAGGACAAATTTCTCAAAGTAAGAGAAGTTTAGCATTTTGTTCAGTGCTTTCTGTATCAGATTGATCAAGATCGGAACATCAGTGAGGTAAAAGTTTGCGACTTTCTAAATCTCTGTACTGAAACAAGCCAAAAAACTCACACCACAGAACTCACATAATAACAATGGTAACTAATTCTATCTTAAACCATCCCAGAAGTGAAGGCTAAAGTTAAAGTTAGGCAGCAGCTCTACTAGTAGTGTTATCTGCTGCTTCAACTTCCTTGGAAGGAGTTAGGGAAGGAGGTTCAAACAAGCTAAAGGCTCTGTAAGCAGAGATGACAGTGAAAGCAATGAAGCAGAAGAGAGCCAAAGCATGGAGAATCACAGCAAGCTTCATTCTGTTGCAGAAGGTGGGATAGGAGAGGCAGGCTTCGCTCCACGTCACTGTCCTGTCCCCGTAGTAAGCCAAGTACACTATCTCCGACACTCCAGCTCCAGATGTCACCATTAGGTATGTTATCATCTTCAACATCAGATTCCAAAAAAAAAAAACCCAATCAGGTAAAAGAAAAGAAATCGAAAGACAATGCAGAATCAGTGGAGGGGGAAAATGGGTACCTGGTCAAAGAGAAAGAAGAGCCAGGGTTTGGAGGCAGAGCATTTGATGAACCAAATGGACAGAGCAGCAATAAGTGCATAGGCAGCAGATATCCCAGTGATCCAGGCCATGTAACTGAGGCCTTGGATGTTTTTGTAGGCAACAGGGCCTAAATCAGTGTTGTCTTGGTGGTTGGTGACAGTGAGGCAGAGAGTTGCAGCACTCAGGGGAATGGCTGCGAGTCTCAGAGATGAATCCACCAGCTTCAGCCTTGGAGCCATTTTGTCCGTCTTCTGTAATTACTCACTCACCTGAATGGATTTTGTTTTTAGTTTTGGAGATGACGATGGGAGAGGAAGAGAAGCAAGAACATAGAAGTTCAAGTATTTATAGTGGAGCTGTGAGAGTTAGAAGTGAAGAATATGTTGTGGGGAGGGATATGGGGTTGTTGTTGTTGGTAGTGGTGGTGGAATTTTTGAAAGTAGTGGGGGGAAGAAGTAATGGGTCTGTACTCTGTACTGTACTCAATAACCTTTTCTTTCTCTTCCTTCACAACCGTTCCCATGCTTCAATATTTTATCTGTATTCAGTTTTCGAATTTTGTTTTCCATTTTTTCTGTCATATTGTGGAAAGTTTCAGTGTCGTTGGTGGAAAATTGATTAGCTTTGAGCAAGATGATGTGTTGTTGATTTCACACTGCTTTGATATTTGTTGGGTCTTTGTGGTTTTCTCCTTCATTTCTTTTCGTTTTCGTTCCTCTGTTTTTTTCCCCCTTTCAATCTGTTGTACAGGTGTTGCTTTACCAAGTGAGCTAAGGTGGCATAGATCCCTTTGTTGTATGGCTCAGTTGGGTTTGTGTTTTGTGAGTGGGATGGGATGGGATGGATAGGAAATTAGGAACAAGGAAAGTGCTGTTTATGACCCATCACCATCATTTACATATTCGTGTCATCCTTGCCTCATGCACAGGCTCAAACACTCTGTTTTTCATCACGGATAAAGTCTAGTAGAGGATAACCTAACCCCCCTCGAGGACTAAGCATCCACAAACGGTCAGGTTATTGATCGTCTTCATGGTTGTTTAGCTTATTGGCTTATGTACGACCGACCCTACTCGAGTCTCTAAGTTGCGGCTAGCTAATAACAGGATTAGGACGCCCCTTATCTTAAAAAAAAAGTATTAAGCTTTGAAATATACTTGAATCTTGACTGAAAATGCTGAGAACAACGTTTACTTGCCATGTGAAACTAGTAGCCTTATGCTATCTTTAGTACATGATAGTTCATCACATCTTATATGAATTTCAACGGCTCTAGTTAAAGCATGAGAACTGGGGCCACAAGATGGGCCATTCACAGAGGCTAAAAAGATGGACCATCTCAGGATAAACTGTGTGTATCATCATTCATCGTCAATCATGAAAAGGAAAAAAATGATACTATGCTTTAGAAACAAAAGCTTATTTCTGGATTGGGAAAGCAAAAGATAACCTTGCGGCACTTATTAAGGTGTATACTTATGCCATGGCATGGCAAAACTTGCAAACTGACCCCCCTTTCAACCATGTACAAAAAGAATCAAACAATTGCAGAGACTGTTACTATCGCTCCTAACTGCTACTGGGTTTCTGTCCTTGCCTAAAATGGATCAGAACCCACTCAACTCTTCTCTTCTCTTCATATCTGCGAAGAAACAAACACATCTCCCGTATCGGTCATATCCACATCCCATGGAGAGCATCGAGGGCTCACTTTTCATTTCTGGGTATTCCTCCTGAGTTAGGAAGAACAAGTTATGTGGCCTTTCAACGTTGCGCACTCCACAATGCATTTTCACCTTCCCCGCAACGTCGGTGGACCTCCTTCATCCTCTCAACAGATTTGCAGATTCCACTGCAAGTCCAATCAAAGGACGCAACACACACATTCCCTGCCTGAGCCTTCCACTCGCAATCTGGGTAGAAGTATTGCGTTATGAGGGTTTTACGTTTACTTGCCATCAAGGTATGTGTACCATTTGCATAAAGTAGATGAAAAGACAGAGAAAATAGTAGGACTGAGGTTTTTTACCAGGTGGGGTGCCACAGCAGAGTCTCCTGTCATCGATATGCTCCACATCCAACCCTATCAACCATGACCCGAGCGAGACATCTTCGTTTGTGTACTTGTGCAGTACATGCCTACAGAATCACATCTACTTGATGAACAAAGCTACCTAGGCTGACTAAGATTTTGTCTCTGAAGTTTCTTAAATGTCCTTGCTAAGGTTTAAAAGAAAAGAACTTACTGGTTGATTGATATATAAGTAGCCAAGTCATTTGAAAGGGCATATATTTGTCCGGTAGCATGACGGAAGTACTTGTTTCCTTCCTCGCCGAATTTCCAGTACTCAGGTTCATGGTATTTCACTCCCCTGTTGAATCCAACAAAGTAAAAGAAATAATGTTACCACTGATCTCCCCATAAATTGGTAAAGTGAACAGCAACTCAATTGATTCTCGGCATACTTTTGTGCGAGGACTGGGCCAGACTTCATACATCCTATGTAAACTCGGGGTTTTGAGCGGTGACTGCTTAAAGTTGCTCCTAGTGTAGCTGCAACAGTATGTTGGGCAGACTTCAGTTAAGATGATAAAGCAAAGTGAAAAGTAAAGAAAACAGGACCAAGGCTGCCCAACAAAAGTTACCTATATTGACGTGGATATCATCGTCAACTTTAACATAGAACTCTGCATCCCACAAGGCAACTGCGGTGGTAAAGTATGTCTTTGTCTTCGCCGATAGTTCAAGGTAACCCTCAACATGCTCCTGCGCTCACAGAAAATGCGCCATAATGAGTTAAGAAATTTACTATATAAGCATTAGAAGAGTGTTACAGAGAAGACGGAAGAAAAGAAAATTAAGGAGTAAGAACATTACCAATCTCAAGAAGTCACCATGCTTCCTGTCTTCTGCTTCAATGGCTCGGTCAAGGATCCCTCCAGCTGTCGCACTGAAATCAAAAGCCAAAGAGCAGCGGAACATGCATCACATTTCATTTTGCAACACGGTTCGCAAGAAGCCTTATTTCATAGAAACTTAATGTATTATCAGATGTAGTTTCACAGTAAGGGAAGAACCAATAACTTGAAAAACTTTAGAAAAAGATATGTGAGCAATCAATTGAAGGAAGAAATAATGGGACAGCAAGGTAGGAGGTCTGTGGTACCCACCTGTGACCTATGACAAAGCGCATTATGATGCCCTTCTCTTCTTCCAGCTTCTTCCTCTTATCACCTTTTAAGAACCCAGGGAGAAGTGAAATAATCAAATCAATAAATTAACATACAGTACCATAAAGGAAGTGTCAAAATAGTTGTTATCAGAATCCATTAAGCAGCTAACCTTGAGGCATCCAAGTTGCACGAACCGAATCTCTTCGTTTTCTGCTACTAAAAGCAGTGTTTATGCCTACAACCATCAAATACTTCCGTTTCCCAGTTGATTCCGAGGCTTTCAAATTGTCTGATATCGGAGAACCATTGAGCATAGACTCCTGTTCAGCCCTTGCTGCGGCTAATTCCATCTCCAGGCTAGAAATCGTCTTATCGAGAGTTCTGTTTGGAGGGGAAACATGTGGTTGGTTATTATCCACTACCATCTGAGAAATTACGAACCATAAGACCTTAAAATAGAGGGATTACTGTATTGCATGGTGTGTCTTTGAAACTTCCCCCATTACGTCCTTGGAATCATGATTTACATCCTTCTGAAGTGGAAAGGAAAACAGAAAATTCCAAATTACTGAGCATACAGCCATATGTATGCAATCTCCAATATGACAAACATGCACAATATCTTCATTTATATTGGATATAAGCTCACATTTTGAGGGGCACATCCTTCTGCAACGAAATTGAGTTTCCCATCTTCAACCATCTTTGTACCCGGCATGTCATTAACTTCCGGCACAGACCACATTCTGCTGCCAAGAGACTAATTAACAAACTACTCATTTCCAAAATAAGAAATTTCAAGTGGAATGTTGCTTTCAACTGCTATCTTTCAAGTGAAGTTTTACAGGCAAAATGTAAATGGAAGAATGCATCATGCCAACCGCCTAGCACATTGCTTGTAGGGAAATACCAAGGAAGTTAAAGCCTCACTTTTTCGAACAACAATAATAGAATAAGTCAAAAGAAATGGCAGAAAAGACGTCAAGCCAAAATTGGCACCTTGAATCATGTGTTCATAATAACTCAAATCCAAGCAATGAAATTATTTGAGTTGAGCATGTAAAAAGGTGAACTTCAGATCTCAATTCTAACCAAACTGTAGAAAATGGAAACCAGAACCCTGAAATGATTACAAATGAAAAAAGAAAGATTCCACCAGCCATCATAGTTGAATCATATCCAATTTCTTTTTAAAAAACTGCAGGCGTCTGACGATTAATTGTTTCCCGAAGTCAAAACAAATGCAATGATCAAGAAGAAGTAAAGAAAGCTGCAACTGAGGAGACCAAATTTAGAAACAGAAACATGATTCAAAACTTGTGAGATGCCAAATTCAGAAGTAGCTGTAGCAGTAAGCTTCAATTCCAAAGGAAGAAAAAAACTTTACCTATCCGAGAAGAGCATCCCTGTGCAGAAACAGCCAATACAAAGGAGCAGAGTCCATTTCCTTGACACCACACTCTTCGAATTCTGCTCGAACCCTCTGTTCTTCCAACTCATGGTTTGCTTCTAAAATTCCGAAACTTTGCAAGGCCAAAAAAAATTCGCTAAGCTTCAGATTGAGAAGGAACTCATGGCATCCAAGTCGTCACTGACCCGAATGTTGACCGAGTTGACCCGGACTGAGATCCAAAGATTCCTCCTTTACTTGGAAACTCAATTACCCAGATGAAATCTCGAAACCAGAACTGCAGCCCTCCAGATTCAGGAAAACGAAAGATTCAACCCAGTAGAGAAAAACGGAAACTTATGCAGAGATGGGTGGCGGGTGCTCTCCCTTCCTCCCTCCCTCCCTCTCTCTCTCTCTCTCTGCAACAGAGAAAAAAAAACTGTTTGGTTGCGTCTCTTAGAGTTCAATGCTCTTGTCGGACTGTCGGTGCGCGAGATTTGATGATAGGAGTAGCACAGAGGAGGGGGGGGAAGGAAGAAACACGATGCTGACGGTGGTGGTGGAGAGAGAGAAGAAGGGAGGGAAAGAGAAGAGAGTTGTCGCTTTGTGATTGTGAGGGAAAAGAAAAATAGAAAATAGAAAAGGGTACATTGTTTCAGTTTTCCTCCCGGTTTTTTTGTTAATATGTTTTTTAGGAAAAAATCCCAAAATACCCTACCTATTAAAAAAAATTTTCCCAAAATACAGCAGTTTCACCATCACTGTCATTGTTCACCGTTTTGGACCAAAACGGTGATAGTATCACCGCTTTAAACAACAACAGTGATGCTATCACCGTTTTTGTCCAAAACGGTGAAGCTATCATCGCCTTCAACCAACGCGGTGATCGATTGACCGTTGATAAGAACAACGGTGAAGGTTTATCACCGTTGAGATCAAAAACGGTGAAGTTGGCGCGGATCGCTGACGTGGCGAGGAGCGGGGACTTCACCGCGTAAGACGAAAGCGGTGATAGCCCCGCCCCGCCACGTCAGCGATCCGCGCCATCCGCGCCCTTCACCGCTGCCGTTCGATGCGGTGAAGCGCGGATTGTGGTTTTTCTCCACGATCCGACGCCTCACGCCTCGCCACGTCAGCGATCCGCCCATCATCGCCTTTGACTGGAGCGGTGTTGTCACTGCAGGCGAGGAAAGCGGTGATTGGCCGCCATAAATTTCCAGCGTCCCCTTCCCCTCCCTTCCCCCCTATAAATACCACTCCCCCCCTCATTCCAAATCACACCACCAAATTTTATACTTCTTTCTCCCTCCAACTTCACTCTAGTTTCGTTCTAAGTATGCTCTGTGGTTGCGGCTAAGTCCGATCTTCCGCATCAGAAAGAATTACTAGAGTTTTGGTTTTTTGTCGATACTCTCGCTAGCTTTTCGGCAAAAAATGGACGAAGAGGCTTTGAGAGTACGTAAATTTATTTAATTCTTTTGTGATTTTTTTTTACATGGGTGCTAAAATTTAAATTGATTTGATTTCATATTTTTTTATAGATGGGTGCTGAGATATACGACCCTAGATTGTATATCGATCCTGGCCCAAGGGATCGAAGGTATTTAACCGGGCAAGATCAACATCGCTCTCGTTCAATTTGGAACAATAATCCGGTAGACACACTAAAATTATTTCAATAGTTTTAAAGTTTTTATTTTGCTTTCTAAGTTTTTATTTTGCTTTCTATTGACTGACAATATTGTGTTTTTTGTTTTGTAGGAATCACTTATTCCCATCAGTCATCGAGGTACATGTCGATTGCCCCGTTGGCATCCTCGACTGCATCCCTATCTAGAGAGGGCGGGATTGCACAATTTGAGGCACTTTATGAGGCTAGATATTGACAACGATCTGCTGACGGCAATGGCAGAGCGATGGCGCCCTGAGCTGCATACCTTCCACTTTCCCGAGGGTGAAATGACGATCACCCTCAAAGATGTTGCCATCCTCACCGGGCTCCCGATCACCGGAGATGCCATCATCGACAGCTCGAGAAAACCAGAAGACGGTTGGGGGCCATTAATTCAACAACGTCTGGGGTTCAACATGCCGACCACCACGCCCGTCGAAGGTCAGGGGCATCCACCACTGAATGCGGGTCAAGTATCGATCCCGTGGCTTGTTGACCACATCCAGATGGAGGTTAATATAGGCCTGGATACTCCTGAAGATCAGGTGGAGCGGTATGCACGTGTCTACCTAATTGCCTTGGTTGGTGGGTTTCTGTTCCCCGACAAGTCAAACCGGTGGATACAAGGCATGTGGTTAAATATGCTCCTCGGTGACTGGGACGAGATCGGGCAAAGAAGCTGGGGGTCGGCCGTCTTGGCTGGGATCTACCGCGAGTTGTGTACTTGCTCGAAGTTGGGAGCGAAACAAGCTGGTGGTGCGATGTTCATACTCCAGCTCTGGGCATGGGAGCATCTTCCGTTTCTCGCACCTCGAGACCCTCGGGAATTCTGGTTGCCAGATGATGAGCTACGATTTGTAGCAAATCCCCCATATGGTTTCAAGTAAGTTCAATTTAAGTTGAATTTATTTTAGATATGCAATGGTAGCTAGTTAGGTGAATTTAGATTTTAGTGAACTTAGTGAACTTAGTATGCAATTTAGGGTTTAGAATTATAGTATTTTAGTGAACTTAGCTATCTTCCAACTAAGCGGATTTAGAGACATTTTAGGTCTGCAATTCTAGATGATTAGTGAATTTAGATATCTTCCAAGTAAGTGAATTTGGATTTATTCTAACCAAATCGCATTTAGCTAATGTTAATTATCTATATTAGATTTAATGTTAGTTAATTTTTGGTGTATGATTACATGCCTATATTAGTTAGAATGTTAATTAACATTATTAGATTTAATGTTAGTTAATTTTTGTAGTATGATTACATGCCTATATTAGATGATAGAAATCATTATTAGATTTACTATTAGTTAATTTTGTACAACAATTTATTAGGTTGACGGTTTGGAGCATGCGAAGCACACCGTCGAGAGTGCACCCACCATGGATGAGCGGAAGACATCTTTTTTGCGCAGGCTTTTCAACAACTTGCTCTGTTGTACCAGAGAGCAAAGGAGGGATGTCATATTATACCCTCCAGTGCCTGCTCCGGCCCGACCTTCATTCCGTGCTGATGAGAGGATTGTGCCCCCACAAGAGCCCCCACGGAGGAGCAGAAGAAGGGTGAGAGAACACTTTGAAGAGCTTCGTCCGTCTCAGCAAACTCAACTTCCTCAACCATGGCCACATTGTGAGTGGGCTACTAGTACTGAGGGAACCAGAGGGTCGTCAAGCTATGCCCCGACTCAGGAGCATGACATGTTCACCCAAGCCACCCCTCAGTTCCACCATCAGCAACAAACTACTCAGTATCAGACCCCGCAACAACAACATACATCATCGACTTTCTACCACGCTTCTGGTCCATCTCAGCAACCTCCCCCCCCCCCCCCACCACCTGTCTACACTCCGGTGGGTGGTCGGGTTAAGAGGAATCCGCGCGCAGTTGTCCAGCGGGCTCGTGAAGAAGGAGGAGGAGGTAGAGAGGGAGGAAGAAGGGGCCGAGGAGGTCGTGGAGGAAGAGGAAGAGGAAGAGAAGGGGAAGTGGAGGGAAATGAAGACAACCAGTGAACTATCTATGTCGTTCTAATTTAGTTTCATCTTTTTTTGTTTTCCATGAACTATCCATGTCGTCTAAATTTGGTTTGGGTCTTGTGTTGTTTTCCATGAACTATCTATGTTTCTAAATTTGGCAATCGGATTGTGTTGTTTTCCATTAAAATGCAACTAATTGATCTATTATGAGAAAACTAAACAAATTAATCTAATTCAGTACTAACTAACTAACATCTATCATATCATAATTAATCTAAATATATCATAACATATTTTCCAATAACTGCGATTCACTAAATACAGACATATTCATACTAACAGCTCAACATGTAAAAAATACATACTTATAACATACTCAATCCCGATCTATCATGAGAAAACTAACCAAATTAATCTAAATTCAGTACTAACTAACTAACATCTATCATATCATAATTAATCTATATATATAAACAAATTAATGTAAACAATACGTAATTCTAACATACCGAATCCCGACGAGTTTCTTGAGCAGTAAACCAACTCCAAACCAGCTGAGAAACCGACTAAAAAAAAGGGTTTGTTGTATTTGGTTGCTGTAAGGCAGCAGCAGGAAGGGAGTGGGCTTTGGTATTTATAGGAAAAAATGGCTGCTAATCACCGCTTTGGACTTCGGCGGTGAACACATCATCGCTGTTGTCCAAAGCGGTGATAGCTAGGTCGCTGTGACCTAATTTTTCCACCTACCAGGGTAGAAAAACGTGGTCAATTATCCCCGCTTTTCTCCACCGCGATGCTATCACCGTTTCACATAAACGCGGTGAAGAGATCGATTATCACCGTCGTTGTGAAAGGCGGGGATGCGATCACTGTTGTGGTCCAAAGCGGTGAAGCATTCACTGTCGTGGTCCGAGGCGGTGAAGCAATCACTGTTGTGATTCAAAGCGGTGATGTTATCCCCGCTGTTCTCAAAAGCGGTGATACCTTCCCCGTTTTTAATCAAAGCGATGATTATTATCACTGTCTTGGACAAAGACAGTGATGGTGAAACTGCTGTATTTTGGGGAAAAAGTTTATAAGTATTGTATTTGAGGAATTTTTTTTAATAGGTAGAGTATTTTGGGATTTTTTCCATGTTTTTTACCACTATACTATAGTAGAATCACAAATCAGCCTCCAGATTATAAACTTTCTAGTTTGGAGCCTCTTCAATCTGTTCTTTTCAAAGCTCTCTTAATTGGTTTTTGTTTCCAACACCTCTTGATAGTTGAAAGCAATTTCTTCATACTAACATGATATTAGTGTCTTTCATCAAATGGTCGTTGAAACTTCAAGTCAATAGATTCATCAAATTACATCTGCAGGCTGCAGCTAGAATTTGTTTTAAGGTATCGTTGCTCCTTTCTGTTTTTTTTTTTTTTTCACAAAATAAATGTTATAGATTCGGAACGTTGTACGTTAAAGAAAGAAAGGTGTAGTGTCATAATTGATCGAGAACTCTGCCTGGTCCCTGTCTCTCAAACCCCCAACTCAGCACCACATTAGAGGAGTTGTCCTGGCCTTGCTAGGTGCCATAACTGATAACACACATGCATGAGCCACGTCCCAAACGAATAACTCCAATGATCAAGCAATGCTAATTATGTTGTGGCTCACCATGTCGGGGACCACCGTTGCTACTCCGCGCGTTTTCTGACTATTGGGCCTCCGCAAACGCGATTTGAGTTCAAGTCCTTAAGACTCATTTCTTAAGAAGAATCTTAAAGTCTTTTTACTGACTAATAGTGGATTAGGTAGTTAATAGGGTTAGTAATTAATAGGCAGTTAAGGGTAAATGGGGTTATGCAAATTTAATTAATATTACTAATTAATGATTCTCTTTCTCTCTCCTCCCATAATTTTTTTCATAAACCTCTCTCTACATTATAATTAAAAAGAAATATGAAATTAATT